ATATATATATATATATATATATATATATATTTTAATGTTATATAGGTTATTTAGGCCACTGGCACCATGGCTAAAATAATAGGCTCCAGAGACAGTGTTCTGAGCCCTTAAGGCAGTGTAATATAGGACAGTGATGGAGCCAGGATTTGACCAGGATCAGCCACTGTCTCATGTTGCACAAGTCTCTTCTCAGAGCACCATACAGGGTTGCTCAGAAGATTAACGGTAATATGCATAGAACTTAGTACAATGCCCGACAAACAGTAAGTGCTTCATAACTGACATTATTATATTTATTATGTTAAATCCCTAGCTTCTCCATGAGATTTCTGAGAATTTTTACTGAGTTACACAGAGATTACAAACTAAAAATAATTTATACCTCCTATGTTATTTGTGGAGAAATAAGAAATATCACCTCTACTCTCTGGTAATAGGATTATTTTTCATATTTTGTTTAAATATTATAAAATACCACTGCTATTTGAAATGTGTCATGTAGTATTTGAGTCTGTCTCCTGGTCGGGAGTATATACCTCACCTCAGGATTTAAAGTATTTCGAGAAAGATGCCAAAAATCTGTTTAGGGAAGGATAGTTGAAACAGTAACAGTAGACACTATTATTATTTCTATTAGCAGGATTGCTAGTAGATTTTACCAGTGTCTTTGTTTTAACTTTATGTTGTATGTGAATGCAGAATGCACATTCAGTGATTAAAACATTGACTATCCTTTTCTTTTTCAGAAGATGAATAATCTTTCATTTAGTGAGCTGTGTTGCCTCTTCTGCTGTCCACCTTGTCCAGGGAAAATTGCTTCAAAATTAGCATTTTTACCACCTGATCCAACTTACACGTTGATGTGTGATGAAAGTGGAAGCCGCTGGACTTTACACCTATCAGAACGAGCAGACTGGCAATACTCTTCTAGAGAAAAAGATGCTATTGAGTGTTTCATGACTAGAACCAGTAAAGGCAACAGAATTGCCTGCATGTTTGTGCGTTGTTCACCCAATGCCAAATACACTTTACTCTTCTCACATGGAAATGCTGTTGATCTTGGTCAGATGAGCAGCTTTTACATAGGACTGGGATCACGGATTAATTGTAATATATTCTCATATGATTATTCTGGATATGGTGCAAGTTCTGGAAAACCAACAGAGAAGAACCTCTATGCAGACATAGAAGCTGCTTGGCTTGCTCTTAGAACAAGGTAAATCGTGATTAGGAGTTGTTTTCCACACTTGTGATGGTTAACTAAAATTGTCTTGTATGCGAATAGAATAAAATCTATTTTTGTAACATGTCTTGAAGCACTAGAGATAAATTTAAGCACATGCGTACATGTGATTTTCTTTAAAATTTAAGCTAATGAAAAGTTTGGTTTTATAAACTTACTGGAATGTGATACAAAAATGTTCAAAGTTGCAACATTGCAAGGGAATGAGAGAAAACAGTGATTTAGCTAATCATTCACTTGATCTATCGTTAACAGTGTAAGAGAGGCTGAATTGTTTTTGTTGAAATCCTATGCCAGGGTTTACATTATTTTATATAATAATTAATAAATAGAAATTGCCTCAGCATTAATCTTTTCTAACCCCCAAGATACTTACAATTTTTTTCTGAACAATACTGCAATTTGGTAGACTTCAGTGTATTTTCTCATCAGTGTACAATAAATAGAAAGATACCGTAGTACACATTATTCCTCATTATACGTTGATAAGCTGTCTGACTTCCACAGTATTTTAGACTGAAGCTAGAGGACATAAAGAAAACTTACCATTCCTAATCTAATGTTTAAATAGTAATGGTTTCAGTTAGGGAGAACTTCCACAATTTTATTAGTAGGTATAAACTTTTTTAGCAAATATCTCAAGAACCATTTACAAATCCCTTCAAGATGTATAATAAAATTATGGGCACATAGCAGAGTTGTATATAAAGGGGATTCTTAAATCAATTGAAATGACATGAAAACATACCTGACAGATTAAAAAAAATAGATGGTAAGTAGGTAAGGAGTTTGAGGGTAGGAGTGGGGCAGGCCCAAAATAGTACAATTTATAAACTT